TAGGCAGTATACCAGTGTCATTATTGTATAAATTCGAGGGAAATATAGAATCTTTACATTACTTTATCCTTTTCCATTTATGATAAAATTAGCCTAGCTATTCCCTAAATATTTAGAAACATGTGAGGCACAACTTTTGTTTCAACTGTCAAACAGAAAACACAAGAGGAAAAAGAAAGCCTATTGTATTGACTCTTATTTTTGCTTATCATGTTATTTCTTCCTTCCTTATGCTCTAAGGTTCATTTTTTTATTGTAAGAACTTCTATAGCTGGTTTGTTTTTTTTTTTTGTTGTTGTTGTTGTTTTGCTGGGGGGGGTGGCGTGGGGAGTCTGCTATTGACAAATTCTCTTAGTTTCCTTTTATCCAAGAATGTCCTAATCTTATCCAGGCCTGGTGGTGCATACCTGCAATCACCATGACTCAAGAGGCGAGGCAGGAAGGTAACCAAGTTCAAGGCCAGCCTCAGCAACTTAGTAAGACCCTGTCTCAAAGATAAAAAGGACTCAAGATGGAGCTCAGTGGTAGAATGCTACTGGGTTTGAACCCCAGTACTTGGGGAAAAACAAACGAAAGAATGTTTTTGTGAACGATGTTTTTGTTAGATATAGGACTCTGGGTTGACAGCATTTGTATTTCAACACCTGAAATTTCTGTGCTACTTCCTTCTACTCTTTGGTTTATAGAAACAAATCCACTTTTATTCTGATTGTTTTACCACTATAGATGAGGTGTTGATTTTCTCTGCTTTTAAGACATATTTCTGTCTTTAGTTTTTAAAAGTATAATTAGGATGTGCCTTGGCATGCATTTCTTTGAGTTTGTTCTGTTTGGAATTCATTTAGCTTCAAGAATCTATTTATGTGTCTTTCCAAATTTGTACATTTTCAGTTATTATTATCTTGAATACTTTCAAACCACCTTCTTTCTCCTCTCCTTTCATAACCCCTATAATCTCATGGATTTCTGAGGCTCTGTTCATTTTTTTCCATTCTACTTTCTCTGTTTTTCAGATTAGATTATTTCTATAATTCTGTTTTCCAGTTCACTGATTACTTCTTCTGTCCCCTTCATTCCGCTGTTGAGACTATTCACTGAGCTTTTTAAATTTTGGTTATTGTACCTTTCAGTCCTAAAATGTCCATTTGCTGCTTCTTTATATCTTCTACTTATTTTTCATCTGCTTGCTGAGGCTGTCCATGTTTTAACAAGCCTATTCATCATTATTTATTGAAACAAATTTTATAATGGCTTCTTTAAAATTTTTATAAATATTTCTAATATTGATACCTTGTTGTTGGCCTCTTTTGGTTTTTTAAAATATTTTTAGTTGTTGATGGACCTTTATTTTTATTTATTTATACATGGTGCTGAGAATCAAACCGAGTGCCTCACGCCTGCTAGGCAAGTGCGCTACCATTGAGCCACAACCCCAGCCCCATCTTTTGTGTTTTAAAATTTATTTTGATGTCTTTCTGGCTTCTGGTATGTGAGTGATTTTTTTCCCAGTTGAAATCTATACATTTTCAATATTATGGGTCTCTGGATTTTTATTTTTTATTTTTTGGCAGTACTGGGAATGGAACCTGGGGCTTCATACATGCTATGCAAGTGCTCCACCAATAAGCTGCATCCCAAGCCCCTTTTATTTTTTTTTATCTTGAGCCTGGGTCTTCCTAAGTTGCTCAGGTTGGCCTCCAACTTATAATCCTCCTGTCAGCCTCCTGAGTCACTGGAATTACAGGTGAGTGACACTATGCCTGGCTTGTAGGTTTCTTTTTTTTTTTTTCCTTTTTTAAATTGAAGTCTGGGGACTTATGTAAAAAATAAAATTCTGTTTTATATTAAGATCAGTTATGTGAGGTGGGGCTGTAGCTCAGTGGTAGAGCACTTGCCTAGCCTGCACTAGGCAGTGAGTTCAATCCCCAGCACCTCAAAAAGAAAAGAATACTTCAGTTATGATCAGGAAGAAGAAAGGAAGATGTGTCAGAAAAAAAGACTAAAGAAGAATAATTTGTATAAGTTTCTATATATCTCATGCTTGACAGTTTACATTCCATACTAATTCAGTTCCTTAGAATATTATTGTGGTAAGGCAGTTATCACTTACACCATTTTATAGCTGAAATGAGTGCTCAAAAAGGTGAATTGACTTATGCAGACTCACTTAGCTAGGGAAGTGACTGAGCTTGCACTCCAAAACAGGTCTACTCTCTGTAGGAGAGTAGAGGAGAAAGAAAGAAACTGGAAGAGAAAATATCAGTAGCTTTTGAGGTATTGCCTGTATTATTTTACTTTATTCTACACTTTTATCTCCTATTCTTTAAAATATGAATCAGCTAATTGTTGATGAAGTCTTTACTGTACCATCCTAGAGACCCCATGCAAATGGACATCTAATAGCATAGAAACCATTTTCTGAGCCACAGTATCCCTACTATTATTCTAGACTATGGAACATTTTCTTCCTTCCCCTGACCCTCATTTAAAAAATTGGAGAAGAAATATTTAGACTAAGCCAACTTCTGGGCAGAATCATTGCACTTGGCCTTGTTAGAAATACTAAGTGTATTCCTGACTCTGGTTATCTAATCTATTTGTATCTAAAAGTCTCTTCAGTGTTTTTATTTGTCAGTTTTCAAAAATCTGCCTAATTCCAAACAGATTCCATGTAAAGACACAGTATGATGGGATATTTCCATGGTGTCTCATGGTGTCAAGATATAAATGAAGATCTGAATGGTCTGTAAAGGACTGGCATGCTGCAATGAACCAGAAATCTCTTCAGATCTTTTTTGTTTTTGTTTTTAACCCTATACCAAAGAATGAAAGACCTACATTTTATGACTCTGTAAATTCATTTCAGCAGGAGTGAATAATTTGTTATAGTACTAAAAGGAAGAAAATATGTAGTTGCTTTTTATTTATTTATTTAGGTACTGAGGATTGAACCCAGGGGTACTTAACCACTGAGCCACATCCCCAGCCCTTTATTTTATTTTATTTATTTATTTTTATTTTGAGACAGGGCCTTGCTAAGTTGCTTGGGGCCTTCTTAAATTGCCAAGGCTGGCTTTGAACTAACAATCCTCCTGCCTCAGCCTCTCAAATTGCTGAGATTTCAGGTGTGCACCACCACACCCAGCTTATAGTTGCCTTTTTAAAAAATATATTTTTAGTTGTACTTGGATACAGTGTCTTTATTTATTTTTATGTGGTGCTGAGGATCGAACCCAGTGCCTCACACATGCAAGGTAAGCGCTCTACCACTGAGCTACAGCCCCAGCCCTATAGTTGCTTTTCTTAACTAAAGTAATTCAGAATTTCAAAGAAAAGCCTATTTGTAGAGAAATTAAGCATGGTTTTATTTCTGGAAGTAAATATTTGCTTTTTTAAAAGTAAAAATTAAAACCTGAAGAAACAAAGTAGAGAATGAATTCATGGTATATTTTGTATTTGTAGTATGTGTGTCAGATTCATTTTGATGTCTGGAGATGCCAATTTTGAATTATTATATATGCTTCTTACCCTTGAAAGGAAATAATAAAGTTTGAAGGAAATAATGATATGTTTTGGAAATTGTCTTACAGTATATAAAATATATTTAGATTATCAAAATAATTAAAGTGTGAAAGGGTAGGAAATGTCTGCATATTTAAGTTAAATATCTTCAGTTACATTGATATACATGGTACTTAAGAAACATTCAGGGCTGGGTTGTGGCTCAGCGGTAGAGCACTTACCTAGCTCATGTGAGGCCTGGGGTTTGATCATCAGCACCACATAAAAATAAGTAATAAAATAAACATTATATATATGAAACATGTTCATCTGTACCGAATTTCAACTTTATCCTAATATCTCTATGTGCTTTTACTATCACCCAATAACTAAAATTTAAGTGACACAAAGTTTTGCTCAAAATGTTTGAACACACACAGAAAACGAAGCAATGAAGAGGAAGGGAAATATGGATGAACAAATAGGAGCCAATTAAGGAGAACCCAAAATATAACTCCGAGCTTGCCCTTCACTGCCTTGAAACTATAGACTGAGCTTTTCTTCTCAGATGTTTTGTACAATTTCTCTCTTTTAAAAAATATTATTTTTTTAGTTGTAGTTGGACACAATACCTTTATTCCATTCATTTATTTTTATGTGGTGCTGAGGATCAAACACAGAGCCCCGCGCATGCTAGGCGAGTGCTCTACCACTGAGCCACAACCCCAGCCGCTGTAAAATATCTTTACCTTAACCTTTCAGCAAAACCAATAACATATTCTATGTTTAAATGAAAGAAATATTATTCCATCCACCACTGACTATGGAGCCATCCTCTGATGAAAATTACTACAGTGAAATCATCATATGTAATAGATCAGGAAAAATATTTCAAGTGAATCAGAGTCAACATGTAGCTTTGTAGATGGAAGAGGAGTGTTTCTCAATAATTTGTTTCATTTTCTAGAAAAATTCTACAATACAGATGCTTTCCAACTTGTGATGGAGTCAAGTCAGATAAACCAGCTTTAGGTGGTAAATGCCCTAATCTACTAACCACCCCACCATAGCTTAGCAACACAGTACACTGTAGAGTGTCAGTTGTTTCCCCTGGTGATTGCATGGTTGACTGGGAGCTGCAGCCCACAGTTGCTACCTGGCATTGTGAGAGAGAGTTGATTGTGCTGCATATTTCTAGACTGGGAAAAGATCAAAATTTGAAGCTTGGTTTCTACCAAATGCATATTGTTTTCACATTGTTGTAAAGTTGAAAAATCATGAGTTGAACTGTTGTGAGCTTGGGTCATCTCTATATAATTTTGAAAAATACAACCACCAAAAAAAGACAATAATATAAATGATGGAATATTCATCTCAGTAATTAAAATCTGACATTTATGGATGCAAGTTACTAACTGCTTGATTTAGATGTTGGAATTCAGATGTTGGGATTTATTATATTAAAATAATGTAATATTTCACTTGTTTTTCTGTTACAGATGACTTGTTCAAAGTTCACAAGCTTAAGCCAAATCTGAAGTGGCGACAGGCTTTTGACAGCTACTTAAAAACTCTGCCTCCATACTACTTATTAGTATGTATTGATGTGTATATGTATTAACTGTGTCAATGATGATTCTTGTCATAAGAAATGTCAATGAATCAAAAGCTTTACCTTGCTATAAGATAGTTATCTTTTTATTTATTTTATGAACATTTGTGTCATCACTGTCTTTCTCAAACCATGTAAGAGTTTAGAGATGTCATGATAGTATAAAAGAGCACTGTTTTCTCTATTTTGTTTCTTTTAACTGCCATGGTTATTTTTATGAAACACATCTATGTTTCTCTTATTAAAACTGATCTTATGAAATTATAATTTTGGAATGAAGAATAAATAGGTATTGATTCATGTGTTATACCAACTTCCCTTTTTAACTCTAGAAATTCTCAATCTTGGGGACTCCCTCTGAAAACAAAATGCTGAAGACATTGTAGTTGTTTATGTTCTAGGCACAGCAAGAAGTAGAGGCACTGTAAACATTACTTGGCCTCATTTTGGGTATTATAGTTGGAGACAAACACTCACAATGACTTTGAATTTGTAATGTAATCTAAATCCAGATTCTCAAACCTATTTCAGAGGTTGATGTGGTAACTTAAAACCAATTTTCTAGAGGTGAAAAGGCAGAATCTTCATTGGTGTCACTGGGAGGAGAAATTGGGGTGTGTTGGTATTGACCATGGCAGGAATGGGGTCCACAATAAAATGCAATGTGAAATGATTTTATGACTTTGGAATTAAGACTGAAAGCAATTTACTTATTTGAATTTGCTGTTACTTGCTCTTCTTATCCCACTCTCTTCTGATTTTTTTTTTTACTTTCTGCTCCTTACCTCTCTGCTATTTTCATTGCCACTTTTTAATGTTCCATGTTTGGTTTTATGTGCAGCGCCTTGACTTCTAAAAAATTAATCATGTCCCTTTGCCCCTTATAACTGAACTTTGAGTATTTTAAGATTTATTCTATTCTTACTGTTGTGTATTTTGTTTCCTTATAGCCATTAAAGAAAGCACTAAGGATGATGGGAGCTCCAAATCTGATATCAGATAATTTAGATTGTGGACTTAGTTACAGTGTTATCTCTTACCTTAAAAAACTCAGCCAACAGGTAGTATTGGTAAAAACAAACAAACAAAAATCCTTTGCCCTCAGAAGTGCATTTCCTTATTCTTTAGTATAATTGTAATTTTTCCAATTAAATGTATATATATATCTCTACACTTTATTGGCTAGTAATAATGTGATTTTCTATGGCTTCTAGCTTCACCATTTAAACTGCAGTTAAGGGTCTGTCAGTATCGTTTGATGCTGTGCCATTTTTCCTTCTGCCTGCTGGTTTGTCTTATTCACAACTGGCTGATATTTTGTGGCCTAAGAGGGACAGAGGCTTAAAAGAATTCTCTCCTGGGTCACATTTTGTCTATCCTCAACCTAGTTTCTCCTTGAATCGCTTTGGGCTAGAGCATCCCCCTTTTGTAGGTCAGCACACTGAGGCCTGGTATGGTGAAATGACTTGCTTGAAATTCATTTTTAGGCAGCATGTAAAGGACTTACACTCTCACATGCTACTAGCCCTTGGATAAACAGCTATCTGCTTTACCCTGGAGAAGGGGAAGATGAGACCAGTGTTCCTCAACCTGAAGAGTGGGATTCAGCCTCCTCTCTTCTTGCCCTCGACCTCCATCTGTTCCTTTAGACCCCACCTCATGTGCCATTATTCACTTTGTCCCTTGGATGCCCCTCTCTATTAGTACCTCATCCTCCACTCACCCCTCCTTACCATACTTCTCACCTCTACCTAGCCCATTCTTTAGGATGGAAATGTTTAGGAACTATTGAGTTAGCACTCTACTACCATACAGTTGTTCTATATTATGTGACAAATTCAGGCAGCAGTTTTACTGTCTTGTGCAAATTGTATGCCCAGATACTGAACAGTAGTAGCATTTGCAGTGGCTACAATGCTTCAAAACAAATAGATTTGGATGTTTGGCCTTTGCAAAAACCAAGAATAGTAAGCAAAGTGTCATTTTACTAAAGGACCAAAAGGAGTCCACAACTGGCATGCTGACACATCTCGCTAGGAACTGGCAAAAACTTCAATACTGTTAAGAGTTTACTGGTTCCTACCGGTCCAGTGTGCCCCAAAATGAAAAAAAGAAAGTAAAGGCAAACCCAGAGATCTTATCTGCCAAGTGTCCCCCCAATCCCTTTTCCTCTCTGCTAAGTTTTTTTTTTTGTTTTTGTTGTAAATGTTTTGATTTGGTTATTTATTTATCTATCTATTGGTCCATTTATTATTTTTTTTAACTTGATGTTTACCTTAGGCCTTTAAGGCTGTGTCAGCAGAGTATGGCCACAAGGAAGAATAATGAACAGATTTCAAACTAATGCAAGTTCTTGGACCTTCTGGGGGCACATTGATTATATATAGTTTTATAAATGAGCTTTCAAGAAAATTTAATGAAGTAGACCACTCTTTTGCTCTTAAGTCATATTTAAGAATTTTTTAGAGCTAATAAACATAGACTCAGTTCCAATTATTAGGGAAGATCAATAAATATCCATGACCAAACCAAAATAAATCCAAAGTTTTTGGGGGACTTAATGGACATTGGTGGAAATTTACCTTTTAGAGAGAAAGATATCATAAATAATTTATAATATTTCTAATTACTAACTTAATTACTACTTGAATAACTATGTCACTAGTGCTCCTTAAACCATCTCAGATGTATATAGAACACAAAATATGTTAAATATCTTGCTACAATGCATTCTCAAGCAAAATTAATCAAGATAGTATAAAAATGTCTATTAAAAGGATTTTTCATCATAAATTAGTGAAAAACTTATTGAGTACACATTACAAATTATTGGTTTGGTAACATTTGTTAAATTAAGTATTACAATATAAGGCTTTTTTATGTAGTCCAATGTTAAAAATAAACAGTTTTTTATATATAATGCCAGTCTATATAATCTGAATTTTAGCACTAATTTACATGTGTAAATGAGTCTAAACCTTTATGTCTGTTTCTGAAACAAATATGTTGATGTAGACTAGATGCTTTAAAATGACTATGAATGAAATTCTTCCCCATGGTTTCCATTCTTTCCACAGTTCAGCCATAGTTTTGACAATAGACAAGAGACAAAATATATTATTTGCCTTTCCAGCCCCCCTCTTTGTTTGCTGTGATAGTACAGAGAAGCACAGGAAAATGTTTAATTATCTGTTTTTCTGTAATTTGCAATTGAAGTTGTTCTTTGAGGTTCTTAAAGTATTATCTTTCTTAAGTAGTAAAAATGGATAGCAGTAAGGTAGATGTTTTCATAACATACTATGTACTTTCATTTTAGACCAAACTAGAATCAGACCGAATACTAGCATCAGTGGGGAAGAAACCTCCCCAGGAAATTGGTATCAAAGTGAAAAATCATTCTGGAGGTGGTGTGTCCTTGGTTCACAATAAGAATTTTAGAAAACTATTGAAAGAGATTACAGGGGAAACTGCACTGAGACTGACAGAATTGAATACCAAAGAATTTGCTGGCTTCCAAGTAGGGATCTTAAACAAGGTAAATGGTGACATAAAGAGATTGTATACGTTTGAACTTGTCTGATACATATATATTATTCATATGGCTTTAGTTTTGAGATAATGACAGTCCTATTTTGGAGTTAGTAGTTATTAATGGAACAGTTTAGGAATTCTCCTGCTACTGATGCCAAGATGGAATTAAATGTACAAGGAATGTTTGGGAAACAGCACCTGTGAAAGGTAATGGAGAGAGCCTCCAGGCTGCCATGCTTATCTAGCACCCATGAGAAAGCAGGCAGGAAGGAGGATTGAGAATGAAGAGACTCAGATGTTGGTGCAGCTTGGAAAAAGTATGGGCCAGTGCAGTGGGGACATCTAGTATGAGCTTTTCCCATGGAGAAGGTCCACTGGCAGAACTGGCCAGGCTCTACCATTTTCTCCATTCTTAGAAGGAGCAGGACCTCAGCTCAATTCTGTAGCAGTTGCCTAAGGCCCTACAGCTGGGCTCAGCTCACTGTACTCCCTTTGGAGTCAACCATTGCTGTCCTTCGGAGAGTTTCCAGCAGCCCACCTCTATAGCTGCCAAAAGACTATATCTAGATTACAAGCAGTGGTCATGCAAGGTGACCACAGGAATAAATCTCAGGATTTTGAATTTAAAATTATATACTTGAAAAGGGATATTCCGGGACTGGGATTGTGGCTCAGCGGTAGAGCGCTCGCCTACCATGCATGAGGCACTGGGTTCGATCCTCAGCACCACATAAATGTAAAATTAAGATATTGTGTCCACCTAAAACTAAAAATTAAATATTATTTTAAAAATTTAAAAAAAGAAAAAGAAAAGGGATATTCCTAGTGACTTTAATAGTGTTGTGGGTGTCTTAGAATAATCAGAACAACAAATGGAAATTTTTCACTGTGAAAATTCTACCATAGTTAATTAAGGTAAATATAGCTCTTTTCAAAGAGTTTAAGAGGTCAGGTATTACATTTCTAGATTAGAAGCCTCATGAGTAATTGAAATTATTTCATTTCAAACAGGATTTGAAACCTCAGACATACAGAAATGCTTATGATATTCCACGCAGAGGTCTTTTGGACCAGTTGACCAGAATGAGATCCAATCTGCTGAAAACCCACAAGTTTATTGTTGGACAAGATGAAGGTAAATTGAACAGGGGAGTAATTTTCACTAGGAAAATGCCAGGCATGACTTTCATGAAATTTTCTATCATTATGAGTAGTTTATGTTGTAATAGTTTAATGTTTCCAAGTGCCTGTTTTCATGGAATCCCTACATCTGCTCAGACATAATTTGTTTTTCTCAAGTTTAAAGGCAAGTGTGCATTCATCAACACATACACCACACTCACCATACTTTGCCTCAAACAACCCCATTAGACAGATAGTGTGTTTATGCTCATAAAATAGGCATTAAAATTGACAATGAGCATTTTTGTAGTTTTCCCAGGTGTAGCCCAAAGTAACAGAACTTAGGTCTGTCAGATTCTCCAATCTGCACACCCAGAAATCTACTACCCACTCTACCACCCAGCTTACTGTGATAAAGAGAATACCTCATTTCTTGGATAGTAATGAACTGGAGAATCATGATTGTTTGCAATTTCCCCTTACTCAATTTTGTTTGTTTTAAATGGGTTCATCCATCTAGCAAAATCAGCAAATCTTAAATTGGACAATCCTCAGAAACCCCTCACAAAATTTTGTGTAAGGGGACTTAGCTAGAAAGATAGCATACACATTTAATTCAATCCTCACAGGTTATGGCCCACTAACCAATATTCTCTGTATAATAAGAGAATGCCATGGAATCTCAGCTCTTTCAAATGTAGCAGATTCATAGTGTTTTGGGTTGAGATGAAAGGTATGAAGCAGGTCATCCATTCTTTTTTTTAATTAATTTGTTCTTTTTAGGAATACATGACAGTAGAGTGTATTTTTACATATCGTACCTACATGGAGTAGAACTTATTCTAATTAGGATGCCATTCTTGTGGCTGTACATGATGTGGAGTTTCACTGGTGTATTCATATACAAATATAGGAAAGTTATGTCCAATTCATTCTACCATCTTTCCCATCCCCATCCTCTCTCCCTTCTCTTCATTCCCCTTTGTCTAATCCACTGGAAGAATAGAAGGTCAGCCCATTCTTAAACCTGGCTTGAAGGTAAGGGAGTTGTTCTCATCCTAGGGATATGAGCCTGAAGGCAGTAGTAATGGTAGACTAAATAATGATTTGGATGAAGAGAGATATGATTCAAGATTCCAGAATGCCAGATTCAAGATTTTCAACTTTATTGGATGCCAAGATGCACATTGTTAAACCCAATGATGATCATGTCATCTCAAAAGGGACATGTACTCCAATTGTAGAGCATCAATTTAATTGCTGGTGATTTTTACAGATTCCCTTCATAGTGTTCCAGTTGCACAAATGGGTAACTATCAGGAATATCTAAAGACAGTGGCCTCCCCATTACGAGAGATTGATCCAGACCAACCAAAACGACTGCATACTTTTGGCAATCCATTTAAACAAGATAAGAAGGTAGGATGCCTATTTCTATTTCTGTCTAAATTGTGATACCCCTTTGATTCTCTTCTTTTTTGGTAAGAGGAATACAAATGAGAAACAAAATGTGATCCCAGGGCTCTTTGTGGATGGAAATGGGAGCCTCCTGATGCAAGAATGTGTTGAATGAGTAAAATAATACCTGCCATTTTTTAAGTACCTGGTAGGAGCTGGTGACTTTAATGATTACATTTTAATGCTTACAACTGTTTTGCAAGGCTTATATTGAGCAAGTTTCAAAGTTCTGTGACATAACTGATAAGAACCAGGATTTGAACCCACATCTTTCTGGCTCCAGAGTCTATATTCAGTCCTACCACCACACATTAATTTCACCAATTATTTTATTTCATCTATTTCCATGAATCAGGTAGGAGGCTCTAGCTAGATGGTGATGAGTGTGTCCCTTGAAATATGGAATACTAGGTGATGTGAACTTTTTTTTTTTTGGTGATGTCAATTTTTTGGAATTATCACACTAGAGCTCTTAATGTGGTACATATGTGATATATCAACTTGACCATTTTAGCATGAAAACAAATGAGATTATATATGTACTCATGGAGGAGACCATTGCTATTAAGGCACAGACCAGGCAGTAGTCTCTTTTCTAATCTCTTTTATATCTCTGAACTTAGAAGTATTTCACCTCATCACAAAGGTTAACTAATTAAAGTATGTTTTATCTTCCTGTACCTTAGTATCCTTACAAAACATTGGGGATAATAATTGCACCTAACAGGCAGAGGTCTGTGGAATATTAAGCAAGTTAGTACATGCACACTGTTTAGAACATTACTGGGCATGTAATAAATGCTCTGTGAAAATGTTTTCCCCTTCCAGTATAGTATATGGGGGGGGGGTCCTCTAGAAAAGCCATTTTTCATGATTTTGTTCAAATTATAGGGTACATACTCTTAGGTTATTCTTCTATATTTCTGGCTCTCATCCTTCATCTACCCTCAAGAGCAAAAAGTCTCCTTGCTACTTTGCTAGCACCAAAGTGAACGTATTTGAATTCATATTGGAAATTCCGGTTGGAAAAATCACTTTTTCCATCTATCTGCCTTTCCTAATCTAACTGTAGCATAATCTAACTGTACAATGATGATCAGTGTTTCTTAATGATTAGTTTTAAGCACAAAAGCACCAAAAGGAGAACTTACTGGGGTAGGGGTGGGCAGGTATGCAAAGTGGTTTATACTTCTCCAAAAAGGTAACTATGAGTTTATCCCATTTTGGTTGGTCAGAACTACTCATTCCTGAAGCTTTCTGATTATTATTGTAGCATGTTTAGCCTTGGACAATACCTTGTATGTTAGTTTCCTCTTCGTTCCACTTAGACTGGATTAAAATTGAGTGTCATTTTCTGAGAATAGACTTGATAAATATTTGGCCTGTGTTTATACTTATGTAAAGTAATGTAATGTGTAATTGATTGATTGTATATGTATAAGACAAGTGTTTGCAGTTTTTTGATAGTGGAATCTTTGTTTTCAATAGAATATGTTTGTTAATGTCTTTTAGGGAATGATGATTGATGAAGCAGATGAGTTTGTAGCAGGGCCACAGAACAAAGTGAAACGTCCTGGAGAACTCAACAGTCCTATGTCATCTAAGAGAAGGCGGAGTATGTCCCTGCAGTTGAGGAAACCACAAACACCGCCTACTGTAACTAACCATGTGGGCGGAAAGGGACCACTCTCAGCCTCGTGGTTCCCATCTTATCCAAACCTCATAAAACCCACCCTTGTACATCCAGGTATAGAGTAGTGGTTGTGATTTCCTTATGGCTCCTAGAGGACTAAGACGCTAAACAGTTTTATTTTATTTTGTATTCCTTTTTTTTTTGTATGTTTAGTTGTTGTTTATTAAGTAAGTCATTTAGTAAACCATCTATGTGGTAGGTGCAAAAGACCCCATGGGGAGCATACAACCTGTTTCAAGGATCTTAGTATATATGAGAAGAGATTCATAACAACAGCAATTAACACATGGCATGGACATAGTAATTACTAATTAATTCATAACTTAGTAAATAAATAACAGTAATTAATAGAGAGATGGAGAGTTATGGGCATGTTCATTGTAGCCATTTGGAGCAGCTTCAAGAGTTGGGACAAAGTAGGTTTCCAAGGCAGTTGGAGTGAATTGGCTAGATAGAGCGTGAATCTACACTTGCTCCCTGTGCTGTCACTTCCTGTTCATGCTGTAGCCAAGTACAGCATGGTGTCTGCCACCTTGACCCCACTAAAACCATTTCTCAGGCTCACCAGTGTCTGCTACACCTTGCCATTACCTCTCAACAGCATTTGGACACCATTGTCCATTCCCTTCTCCGTGAAGACCTTCATGAGTTCCCAGATACCTCATTTTCTTTTCCCTTTAAAAATGGCTCTTTCCATCCTTTGTCTGTGTTTTTCCCCCTTTCCTTCCTTCCTCTAGAAATTGGAGGGCCTCAAAGCTTAATTCTAGGGCATCTTCTCTTCACTGTGTTTTCTCCCTGAGTGATCCCATGCAGTCTGGTGGCTATTAAATTGATTTAGATTTCAACAACTTCAATATTTATACCTCTAGATGAGAGCTTGCTCCTTAGCTCCAGATTCTTATTTTACCATGGACATGGGTTCTCCACTTAGGTATCTAATAGACATATAAAACTCAATAGGTTGCATGTGTTTCAACTAGGCTCCCAACCTTGCCCCTCTTCAAAATAACTCTGCTGACATCCTTATGCATAGCAATTAATGACTTCATCCAGTGACATGCTGGTAAAGCTACAGCACCTGTGGGGACTGAGATGACAGAGAAACTCTATAGACTATAGCATTTTCAGATTTCTCTAGAGTAAATAATGCTAGTAGTATTAAAGCCAGAATAGCAATCTGAGACTATTGAATTAGAGTCAGGAAAAATTGGGCACAATTCCCTCTCAAGAGCAGTAGAATACTGGCTCATTCATACCCCTGGCATTGTTATTTACTCAGTAGTTAAGGTGACAAACTTTAGACTCACTCTGATTATTATTTTATTCTTCTCTTACTTCCATCAATTTATCAAATCCAGGAACTTGACATTTAATATAATCCCTGAACTCTACCATTTTTTCTATTCCATGACTCTACACTACCATGATCTCTCACCATGCTACCATGATAGCTTCTTTTCTGATCTCCCTGATTCCTGTTCTTTTATTTTTTATTGTTTGTGCTTTTGGTAGTATGGTCATTTTGATAATATTAATTCTGCCTATCCAAGAGCAAGGTAGATCTTTCCTTCTTCTAAGGTTTTCTTTGATTTCTTTCTTTAGGGTTCTGTAGTTTTCATTGTATAGATCTTTCATCTCTTTTGTTAAGTTGATTCCCAAATATTTTATTTTTTTTAGGCTATTGTAAATAGGGTAGTTTTCCTCATTTCCCTGTCAGAGGATATGTCATTGATATATAGAAATGCCTTTGATTTATGGGTGTTGATTTTATATCCTGCTACTTTGCTGAATTCATTTACTAGTTCTAGAAGTTTTCTGGTGGAGCTTTTTGGGTCTTCTAGGTATAGAATCATATCATCAGCAAATAGTGCTAAATTAAGTTCTTATTTTCCTATACATATCCCTTTAATTTTTTTTCATCTAATTGTTCTGGCCAGTGTTTCAAGAACTATCTTAAATAGAAGTGGTGAGAGAGGGCATCCCTGTTTGTACTTGGGATGGAACCCAGGGATGCTTAACCACTGAGCCACATCCTCAACCCTTTTTTGTATTTTATTTAGAGACAGGATCTTGCTACCTTGCTTAGGGCCTCACAAAGTTGCTGAGGCTGACTTTGAACTCGTGATATTTCTGACTCAGTCTCCTGAGTCGCTGGGATTATAGGTGTGTACACAGTGGCACTAGGTTCTGATTCACATTCTTGTTCCTAACTCACTCCTGGCCCTGAAGCCAGAGTGATAGTAAGGTAAATTAGCAGGTAAATGGGTCCATGCCATGCCTATTCTGGAAGTGCATCCTCCACTTTCCCAAGTACTTAGAACACACCCTGAACTCCTGACTGTGGGTCACAGGCTCTGCACAGCTTCGCCTGGAGGCAGGCAGCCTCTTCCTCCACTCCATGGTCCTCAGCAGGTCCCCCTCTGACCCTCACCCTTACTGCAGCCTGAACTGTCCCTCTAAATCTGCACAAGCCTGCTCTGTCTCCTCCTCAGCCTCTGCTCAGAGGACACCACCCAGAAGGCCCTGCCACCACCCTCAGCCCTGGAGGCCCCTCTGCTGCTCCCTCCCACTCCTTTGCTCCCTCCCACTCCCCTGCCCACATCTCCCCCAACAGGAGTCCAGCTGGGATGGCCTGTTGCTCTCCATGCACTTCCTCTCTGACTTCCCATTTTGGTGTAGGTTCCATCGGGGCAGATGCAGTTTCTGTTTTCTTCAGTGATGATCCATCTCTTGGGATAGCAAAAGATGAGTAAAAGATATGTCAGACTTGGAGTAAAAAGAAACCCACTTTGACACAGAAGGGGGGAAGGATGAGGACAATCAGATAGATAGATAGATAGATAGATAGATAGATAGATAGATAGATAGATAGATAGATAGATAGATAGAGATAGATAGATATAGATAGATAGATTGATTGATTTGGGGTGATGGAGTAGAGAGCATATTCAGCCCCAGTGTATTTTCTCAGAATATTTTAGATAGAAGTGAGACAGAATTGTCTATTCATGTTACCTGGCTTAAAGCTCAGGTAACTGCTAGCTCAGGCAATGCATGGTAGTTTATATGTGACTTTGAGAAATCATGTCATCAAGTGAGACTTGGTACTTTTTGCTTTGTAAAGAGTAATAGGATGACACTAAATCATGAGTACCAGGGACTTCCCAATGTTTGTTGTGCTATCTCAGTTTCTACGTGTTTTCATAGTAGCAAGAGGGAAAAAGGTGATCATGTAGTATTATTTTCCTGAGCTCAGTGTGAGGGGTTTCAGATTTCCACCTGGTACATATTTCTGCTCTGTAAAGTAAATAACTTCCTTGAAACTTAGAAGCACAGGGATGTACCTGTGGGACTGACATAATGCAACTACCTCATAGCTCAACTTCTTAAATTGCTTTCCAGATGCCACTGTCATTCATGATGTGCATGAAGAGAAGATGGAAAATGGGCAAACCCCACCTGATGGCTTCTTGTCAAAATCTACTCCAGCAGAGCTTATGAACACAACAGGAGATGGTGTCCCACCCAACCAATTGGATTCTCTGTCTGATGACTTCACTAGTCTCAAGAGAGATGGACCATTTCACAAACTTGGTAATAACATACTTAGAGGAGGAGCCCCAAATTGCAATCTCTCTGTGGATGACCAAAAAATTGCAGTAGTATCTACTTTGGGAACTGCACCAAATGCATTGCAGATCACTCCTGCAATGGCACAAGGAATCAATGCTGATATCAAACATCAATTAATGAAAGAAGTTCGAAAGTTTGGACGAAGTAAGTAGGACTATCTATCAATAATGTAACAGTAAAACAGGCAGTACCTCTAGTTCTATGATTCTGAAAAGATCCAAACTACCTCTTGATGTGCATTTTTGGGCAATATTGGGTTCTCACATAATTTAATGCGGTTCCTTCTGGCTTTAACTAAAAAGATATAATCACCTTTCTCCTTGCTTCTTGTAATAGTTCCCTTTTTGCTGCTATAACAAATTATTGTGTTTATTACACACATCATGTATCACTGAGTTATTTAAAACAACATAAATTTATTATCTGATAGTTTAAGAAGTTAGAATTCTGAAGATACTTTCACTAGGCTAATATGAAGGTATTGGCAGGCCAGTGTTCTGAGGGCTCTGGCAAGAATCTTTTCCAACTTCCAAAGGCTGTCTGTATTCCTTGGTTCTTAGCCCTTTTCCTCATCTTTGAGTCAACAGAATTATCACTTCTTCTTCTCTCTAACCACTACTTCTGTCCTTCCATCTTTCTTCTCTCCAGCATTTACTGTCCCATCTTATAAGGATATTTGTGTGATTACATTGGACCCGCACATAAAAACCTGGATGATCTCCCCATTTCAACATCCTTGACTTAACTTTATCTGCAAATAACGTTTATTAGGTAACATTAAAAGTAACACTTTCACAGGCTCCAGGGATTAGGGCAATTTGAGGCAGCCATTTTTCAGCCTTCCACATTTGGTAGTGTTTGCAAGAGTTTCCTTAGTAGATACAAGCAAATATTTTCATTTGTGTGTTTAAAATACCCATGAAGAATGATTACTGAGGATGAATCACGATTCAATACTATATCTTATTCATATTTTTAAAAATACTAAAGTTTTTAAAATCTCTTCAGAGTATGAAAGAATCTTCATTTTGCTTGAAAAAGTGCAAGGACCTCTGGAGATAAAGAAGCAGTTTGTTGAATTTACCATCAAGGAAGCTGCAAGGTGAGTATAAACAAGCTCTTCAGAGTATGTTTTCTTTTGTTTTAGCAGCATGGCCCAATGCAAGATAGAGAAGAATAGGCTCTGCCTTGATTTTTGCAAACTCTGGTCCTAAGTCATATTTAAGGCTGTCTCTAGAGGTATTTAGATTGATGTTATCTGCATCTAACTCATTCATTACTCTAGACTAATGTGAGCTTGGGCCTTCAGCTGGCACTCATTGTATTTGATAAATCATATCTTCCTGTAAGGATAAATTGTATATCCCCCTGTAGGTTGAAAGTTCTGCTTTGTATCCCATTTGGTACCTTGCATCCCATAAGTGATCTAAGTATCATTTAGTTAAAAAAATTTTTCTTTCTTTTTTTTCAGGTTTAAAAGACGAGTCTTAATTCAGCAACTTGAGAAGGTGCTAGAAAAAATAGATTCTCATCACCTTCTCAACAATGTGAATCACATCAACAGCAGATCATCAAGTTAATGCAGAAACAAGTGAAAAAAAAGATAAGATTTCTGAGCTGTAGGACTGGTCAGGATATTGTTGAAGCCTCAAAGAGTCTAAGTGGCAGAGCTTTAAATTTTATGATTATCTGGCAGTAAAAGTTGGACTTTTGCCTTAAAAATTTTTGTGAAAAGCATCATTTTTAAAAAATTTTCTTGTTTATTTTCCCAATTAAAGGAAAGTGGTGGTGTTAATTCAGTAGGCTAACTTCATAAAACCCTGCTGTCCCTACCACAGGCAATAAGGGAATCACTCATTTAAACTGCCATTTCAGGCATTTTCAAAGTAATGAGGGGCTACCTGCAAGTGGAACACCACTTGATGTTCTTACAATGTCTTTTAGAAAGAATAAGCTTACAGAATCCAAGTATTAGTCATGTGTGTGCTAAACAGAACTTTCAACAATTCCTAGTTGTGCCTTTTAAACCATGCAATATTTTGGAAAGTTTGAATCAAAGAGTAAGAAGCTGCTATTTGGGTAACTTATTTCTCTGTGGGAAAGGGCAGGGAGAGTCACCAAACAGTCTACCTCCAACTCTCTTGTATTTTGTCTAAAGACATTACAAAGTGCACCTGAGGCTGCCCTATGCTCTGGCTTTTGTTCTTGCATGTGATAACAGAACATCTTCAGGTGGACTTAAGTGCTTTGGAAGCACTAAAAGAAAAAAAATGTGTATGTGTCCTTTAATGTTTATATAAAAGTTTATATGGAACAGTATTGTTATGTTTGTATTATTTGTAAAAATTTAAGTATTCAAAGAGATTTTTGACTTTGCATATAAAAAATAAATCATTTTATTGATTTTTCACAGTTTATTGATGAGAAGTTTCTAGTGGTGTGTTTCTTGTGATGTGTCATTTTCAGAAAAAGTGCTTACTATTCAATAATTAAGATATTAACATAGGCTTTAAGCTTCTAAATATCACTCACAGGACTGAGTGATGTTAGTCAAAGTACTGGGGAGGCCAGTCTCTCCTAAGAAACACTGAAGAGGAAAAACTGTCAGAATCAAGTTTATTGAATTTCTAGAATATAAGTCAAAAGTTTATAGCAACCAAGCAAATACTATATCATGAGAAAAACCATTGAGTATGATAAGAGCTTTGATGCATTTCGGTTTACCCTTGTCCATGCCCCCCACACCATGACATGGCAGTGATTTTGAAGATGGCAGCCTGCATTCCAAGTATGGGCTCCCGTTTCTGGAGGGTGTGTATGTTTGCACCTGTCTGGAGGACTCCCTGAACTGACGAAAGGGGATTAATTACCTTTGTTTTACGGAACTCCAAAGTCTCTCGGCATCTATGTGGAGGATATTTCTCAAAAATATTTCAAGGCAGACGAATAAGCTGCAACAAACAATATGGCAAAAGGCTGGGAGGAAATTGGGGGGGTATATGACACTTTAGAGAATTAGGGCTTTAAAATTCTCCCACGTATACCTGGAAATCTAGGAAACCATATACATACCCAAAGTTAGAACTCCTGTCTATAAAAGACCTGAAAGCACAGATTTCACCTCTGTCTGATCTTTAGACCCAGTTCAAGCAGGAAGTGAAGGCTAAAATAAGGCAAAGTTGTAAACAACCTGTTTAAGTGTTGAAGAAGCATCCCAATAGATAGTTAATATACTATCACTTGGAGAATATTTTTTTCTTTTTATTCCAGGTTCATGAGAAAATCTTTTGAACTACTAGATGACCTCCAAGTTATAGGAACAAAGACTTCAGAGACTATACATGACAAAGAATACAGTCCTTAAAAAGAGTTTAGAGAAATTGATAAATAATTGACAAAATAGGGATGGGGCTGTGGCTCATTGGTAGCGCACCTGCCTCGCACATGTGAGGCACTGGGTTCGATCCTCAGCACCACATAAAAAATAAAGATATTGTGTCCAACTACAACTAAAAAAATATTTTAAAAAATAAAGACAAAATAACCCACAAGTAAACAATAAACCCTGGGAGAAGTCAGAATTTCGAGAGTCATTATATCATAATATTCAAAATGTCCAGTTTTTAATAAAAAAAAATGTGAGGTTTGCAGAGAAAAAAGTATGGACCAATAATGAGGGAGATGAGGGGCTGGGATTGTGGCTCAGTGGTACCATGCTTGCCTAGTATCTGTGAGGCACTGGGTTCGATTCTTAGCACCACATACAAATAAATAAAATAAAGGTCCATCAACAACTAAAAATATTTTTAAAAAATAATGGGGGAGAGGAAGAAATTAACACAAAGTATGCCTCAGAAGGCATGGGAATAGAACTCAATAAATACTTTACTTTAAACAAATGTCCTTACTGTCTTCAATATGATGGAAGAGCTAAGGGAAACCCTGCATAAACACCAAACAACCAGGAGAATGATGAACAAAGCAAAATGAATAAAGGGAACCAAATAAAAATTATGGACCTGGAATATAAAATAATTGAGATGGAAAATTCTCTCAGAGGGTTCTATAGCAGATATGAGCAGACAGAAGAAAGACTCAGAAATTATCCAGCATTAGGAGCAAAAAAGAAAACAGAAATTCAACAATAGAACCTAAGAAACTTAGCCCAAATAACATCATCAAGCATAACACCACGACATAGGATCCCTGGAATGAAAGATGGGGGAAAATAATTTTAAGTAAATGTTGGCCTCAAATTCCCAGGTTTGATAATATACATGAATCCATATACCCAAGGAGCTCAAAGAACTGCATTGGAGACAAACTGAGAGATATTATAATCAAAATGCTCAAAGACAAAGAGACTCCTGAAGGCAGCCAGAGAGAAAACACCTGTCATAACAAGAGATCAACACCAAGATTAGCAGCTAATTTCTTATCAGAAGCATGGGAGGTCAGAAGGTGCCAATGTCTCAGCTGGGCACTGAATCACGAGCCACTCACAGCTTTGTAGATTCAAACAGCAATTCTTTATTCCCGAACTCACACCGCCCTCCACACGTTCAGGGGAAATCTAAAATCTGCCCACACAATTCACGTCCCAAATACTTTCTGAATTCCGAGAGAACTCAACGGGAACTCAGGCAGCAGGAACGCCCTATTCCCAGCAGCAATAATCTTAAACCTGGAACTTCCCTCTAAACCCAGATTGTCTTAAACGGGGAACGCCTTAAACCCAAATTATCTTAAACCCGGATACTTCCTAAAACCTGCAGGATACACCCTAATCCTGGATCCACCCTGGTCCTTGAGCAGGGTCACCTTTCTCAAAGACACATGCGATGTCCAAGGCAAGTTCATTTAACATGGGGTATGCTGGCAAGGAAATTTTGATGCGTCATTCCTACTTGGCAATGGCCCTCAGCATCTCCCCCCTTCTGATTAATTAAACAACAAGCAATGTGGCTTAAGGACCGTGCCTGGTAGGTTGTCCAATTCAACATATGGTTCTTACCTGTCATGGGAAAAACTGACCTCTAGGCATCAGCCTCCTGTCTTAGGTTGATACCACTGCAATCAGATCAACCCCCATCACTGACTACCGGTCCAGCATTCAGCCATGCTTGTGGATAGGCCTATGCACCAGTGGGGGGGTGAGGTTCTTGCCTCACCTCTGTTGGCCCCAAAATTTAGCCTTGGTGCCAGTGGGGGGTGAGGTTCTTTGCCTCACCTCTGTTGGCCCCCAAATTTTAGACCATCACTAGTAGAAGGGAGGAGGATACAGAAATGCCATGACACCAAGCCAATTGACAGCTCCTTTGGAAAAATTGCATCACTGGTGACACAATCAGCAAAGACATGCCAGCACTACCACAATTAACATGGGGTGCACTGGCAAGGAAATTGCATCACTGGTGACACCATCAGCAAAGATATGCCAGCAGTACCACAATTCGGTGCACCAGATGATAGTTCACAATGCATACAACTGATGTATAGTCCAGGCAAGTTCTGCAGGCAGTTCAAATCGGAGGAGTCTATCAATATGTCCATTTCTTCCCAAAGTAAATCGAGTCCTTGATTGAGCATTACTTGTTGAGTTATATTCATTGATGCATCAGTTTATACAGTTTACTGTGATAGCTATCATAGAAGCTATAGTTTGGTTTTATCTTAGTCTTCACTGGCACTGGGATGGAGATGGGAATTCTGGCAATGATGCTAAAGAGACATTATCCTGAACAGAATTATTAAATATAATGAAAAGGAAAGGTGAAAGTAAACAAACAGATCTGTTAACCACCTTTAAAAACAATCCTTAACAGCTGTTTACCTAATTTAATTAAACCATTTAAATCACGTGAATAAAAAAAAATTTGGATCCATTTTTTCATGAGCACTCCTCATATATGAAATATGGACATACACACATACAGACATACAACACAAAACACAAATGTGCACACATAACATACAACACATAAGACAATAAAGGCCTTGTAGCTTTACCTAGGTGAAATCTCCATTGCAATGTTTAAAAACTCCACAGTCAAAAAATAAACACAGTCAAAAAACAAAACTGATCAGAAAAACATTAACCTAGGTCTGTGTGAGCTCAAAAAATAAAATAGAACTTTATGATGTGAGAAAAATGCAATAATAAAATAGATATTGAAAAAAGCACCCTGGTTAATCACTGTTGCAGATGTAAGAATAGCCAAGCTGGAGCTCTGGATATCAGCTGTTATGGATTTGAGTCAAATCATCTTCTTTTTCTGTAGAAATTGCTTTAGTTAATCTCTCTGGAATCCAAATCGGCTGCTGTTCTCCCTGTGGAAAAACACAGACAGAGCCCCGACTCCAGACTATTACTGGGTCAGGACCTTTCCATTGTCCTGTTAGAATATCTTTCCAAAGTACCTTAGGCTTATGTACATTTTTCGGATACATATATCTTTCCGCAGCACTAAGTCCTGATGAATCCAAATTTAGAAAGTTTAGAGTAAAAAGGGTTATTTTAAGTTTATCTTTGGGGGATATATACCCCTAAAAGATCCTTTTAAATTTAAGTCTTTCAAAAGCATTCTGCCTTAGTTTTTAGAATTAATTTAGTCCTTTTAATTTTTTTGATGTGGTTTTAAACCAATTTCCTTCTAGTTTAAATTTTAACACCCTCGCTCTTGTCTATAAATTTTAACACCCTCATCTGAGACTTCTAATTTCTGCACCACCAGAAATTAAAGTTGATGGGCTTTTTGAAAAAAATTACTAATAATCTCCTTGTTCTTCTATTTTATCCAATATTTGACTTTAAACTTCTCTTTTTTACCTTTTTTTTATCTTGAATGTCTGTATCTAATAGTTGTCTAGCCTTTTGCATTTTCTATCTGAAATACCTTTATTTGACATTTTCAACCATTTTCTATCTTATTTCTATCTTCTAGTTTTCTTCTAAGGTTTATATATTTACCCTTAGTTGCTTTTTTCTCTCCTAGTTTTCTTTCATTTCCTATTTTGTGGTTTTAAAATTCTTGTCTTTCTACATCTTTTTTATCTTCTTATATCTTTTTTTATCTTTCTACATCTTATCTTTTTTTACCTTTCTGTACTTCTGTTTTTAAAGTTTTTCACTTCAAGTTTTTAATCTTCTTTATCTAAATATCTTTTATCTTATTATCTTCCCATTTTCATGGTTATTTTTTTCTCCATCATGAAGGCATCTTAACCACCTTCAATTTAACATTTTAAAGCCTTTTGCAACTTATTTAGACATTTTACAACTTTTTACTTTACCACACAAAGATTATCTCATCTCCCTCTTTTTGGTTTAATAAGTACATTTTAATAGTTTGATGAGTAAAGCAATCTTTTTTCCGCCATGAAGGTATCTCGACCACCTTCAATTTAACC